CCACACCACACCACACCACACCACACCACACCACACCACACCACACCACACCACACTACACAACACCATCCGTGTGTGGCACTTTCTCGTCCCTACAGGACGTGTGCAGGGAGTGGTCCCTCACCGCGGTCTCTATCCGCTCCAGGGTCGCAGGGCGTGTCAGACGTGGCACTTTCTCGACACCATAGGGGGTGCGCAGGGGGTGGTCTCTCACCGCGGCCGCTATCCGTGCCGGTCGTCCAGGGCACAGCAGGCATGGCATATTCTCGACACCAGAGGGGGTGCGCAGGGGGTGGTCTCTCACCGCGGCCGCTATCCGTGCCGGTCGTCCAGGGCACAGCAGGCATGGCATATTCTCGACATAGGGGGTGCGCAGGGGGTGGTCTCTCACCGCGGCCGCTATCCGTGCCGGTCGTCCAGGGCACAGCAGGCATGGCATATTCTCGACACCATAGGGGGTGCGCAGGGGGTGGTCTCTCACCGCGGCCGCTATCCGTGACGGTCGTCCAGGGCACAGCAGGCATGGCATATTCTCGACACCATAGGGGGTGCGCAGGGGGTGGTCTCTCACCGCGGCCGCTATCCGTGACGGTCGTCCAGGGCACAGCAGGCATGGCATATTCTCGACACCATAGGGGGTGCGCAGGGGGTGGTCTCTCACCGCGGCCGCTATCCGTGACGGTCGTCCAGGGCACAGCAGGCATGGCATATTCTCGACACCATAGGGGGTGCGCAGGGGGTGGTCTCTCACCGCGGCCGCTATCCGTGACGGTCGTCCAGGGCACAGCAGGCATGGCATATTCTCGACACCATAGGGGGTGCGCAGGGGGTGGTCTCTCACCGCGGCCGCTATCCGTGACGGTCGTCCAGGGCACAGCAGGCATGGCATATTCTCGACACCAGAGGGGGTGCGCAGGGGGTGGTCTCTCACCGCGGCCGCTATCCGTGACGGTCGTCCAGGGCACAGCAGGCATGGCATATTCTCGACACCAGAGGGGGTGCGCAGGGGGTGGTCTCTCACCGCGGCCGCTATCCGTGACGGCGGTGCTCAGGGCACATCGGTACGCAAGTTTCCTTTCTGGACCGGTCGCGTTCAGGGCACAGGGGAACGCAAGCGAGGTGAGTGTAACCGTCATCAAGAATTCGTAGCCACCTCGGCTCATGTGGGGGGGGCGCAAGGGGTGGTCTCTCACCGCGGCCGCTATCCGTGACAGTCGTCCAGGGCACAGCAGGCATGGCATATTCTCGACACCATAGGGGGTGCGCAGGGGGTGGTCTCTCACCGCGGCCGCTATCCGTGACGGTCGTCCAGGGCACAGCAGGCATGGCATATTCTCGACACCATAGGGGGTGCGCAGGGGGTGGTCTCTCACCGCGGCCGCTATCCGTGACGGTCGTCCAGGGCACAGCAGGCATGGCATATTCTCGACACCATAGGGGGTGCGCAGGGGGTGGTCTCTCACCGCGGCCGCTATCCGTGACGGTCGTCCAGGGCACAGCAGGCATGGCATATTCTCGACACCATAGGGGGTGCGCAGGGGGTGGTCTCTCACCGCGGCCGCTATCCGTGACACACAGGCATGGCATATTCTCGACAGCGTAGGGGGTGCGCAAGGGTGGTCTCTTACCGCAGCCGCTATCCGTGACGGTCGTCCAGGGCACAGCAGGCATGGCATATTCTCGACACCATAGGGGGTGCGCAGGGGGTGGTCTCTCACCGCGGCCGCTATCCGTGACAGTCGTCCAGGGCACAGCAGGCATGGCATATTCTCGACAGCGTAGGGGGTGCGCAAGGGGTGGTCTCTCACCGCGGCCGCTATCCGTGACGGTCGTCCAGGGCACAGCAGGCATGGCATATTCTCGACACCATAGGGGGTGCGCAGGGGGTGGTCTCTCACCGCGGCCGCTATCCGTGACGGTCGTCCAGGGCACAGCAGGCATGGCATATTCTCGACACCAGGGGGTGCGCAGGGGGTGGTCTCTCACCGCGGCCGCTATCCGTGACGGTCGTCCAGGGCACAGCAGGCATGGCATATTCTCGACACCATAGGGGGTGCGCAGGGGGTGGCACCGCGGCCGCTATCCGTGACGGTCGTCCGCACAGCAGCATGGCATATTCTCGACACCAGAGGGGGTGCGCAGGGGGTGGTCTCTCACCGCGGCCGCTATCCGTGACGGTCGTCCAGGGCACAGCAGGCATGGCATATTCTCGACACCATAAGGGGGTGCTCAGGGGGTGGTCTCTCACCGCGGCCGCTATCCGTGACAGTCGTCCAGGGCACAGCAGGCATGGCATATTCTCGACAGCGTAGGGGGTGCGCAAGGGGTGGTCTCTCACCGCGGCCGCTATCCGTGACGGTCGTCCAGGGCACAGCAGGCATGGCATATTCTCGACACCATAGGGGGTGCGCAGGGGGTGGTCTCTCACCGCGGCCGCTATCCGTGACGGTCGTCCAGGGCACAGCAGGCATGACATATTCTCGACACCATAAGGGGGTGCGCAGGGGGTGGTCTCTCACCGCGGCCGCTATCCATGACGGTCGTCCAGGGCACAGCGGTATCGGCGGGGCAACGGCCACCAACATCATTCTCACATGCTTCACTTCAGCTGTAATCTCTCCAGCCATCATATAAGTATGTGGGGTTCCTCGGAAGCGTAATTGGTTCCCCCCGTCGCGCGCGATGAGCGCTTCAGCAGGCTGCAGAAGGACGCCACCTACAACTGCGACGGGTGCTTCAACGTGGGGCTTCATGGTACAGCAGGTACCTGGGAAGACGATTTCACCCGGGAGTTACTCGCTCAGAACCGTCCGCAGGCGCACACGGATGGAATGAACTGCAGATGGCTCTGCGAGCGCTGCTGGGTCGTCTTGCTGGAGAAGAAAGGTACCCCCCTCCCCGAACCCGACCCCTCTGAGCGCACCGGCAAGAAGTCCATGCAGCGGCTACTACAAGAGCATAAACGCAGGCTATACGACAACCGGGCGCAGAAGAGGGCTAAGACCCTACCCTCTCAGTCCAGGCTTCCACCGGGGTACAAAGAGCCATCGGACACGGCAGCCCTGACCTCCTTCAAGGGGCTCACCCTTCGTACGCCACGCCACTTCCGCCCAGCCAGCGCAGGCACCACGCTACCGCCACAAAGGCTCTCAGACGGCAGATTCGGCGCTGAGGCGCACCGCGCCAATTGCTACTCGGCCACGTGCGACTTCTGCCCCCCGTACTCCCCACTCCTCGAATGGCCTGCGGGCGCACTCGCCCTGGGGTGCTTCATATGGCGGCCAGAGGAGGACGCCGACTGCAGTGACCGGACAGGTCTCCCAGAATTGGAGGCAATGCCGTCGCTGTGGATCAGAAGGCAGTGGAATGCCAGTTGGGCTCGCAGGAGATGCCTGGTGCACATCTGGGACCTAGAGGCCCGCCTGTAGCGAGGGCGCCGAGGATTGGGACATTTACGACATGTCAGCTCATCTCGCCCCTGTCAGCCCAGCGCCGGCCATTGGTCCCAACCCGCCAACGGCAATAGCCGACAGCCTTCCTGGGCACGCCTCGCGACCAGAGGGAAACCCCGACGGCGGAGCTACCCGCGGGCACGCCCTTCCGGCACTCCCACCACCCAACGCACCCCGGCTACCCACATACTCCACCCTCCGTCTTGGTGGAGAGCAGTCGTGCGGCCCCGTCCGCGAGCTTGTGAAGTTTCTGTTTGAGTGGAACCACGAGGTCCACATCCTCTGGGCGGCCTACGCGCAGAAGTTGGGCAGGGACGGATTGGGTGATGGTACCGATGAGTCGGGATGGTCGCACGAACACCTGGCGCGCTTCGTGGAATCCATCTACGGGGACGAGATCCCCAGGCATGGTCATCCCCCTCTCATCCCCTGGGACGGGCAGAGGGCCGCTGCGGCCAATGCCATCACGCAGCTGGTTGGGAGGAATCAGAAGTACCAGGAGGCCTGGCGCTCCTTCTCCGACATGCTCAGCAACCAAAAGGGACAGTGCCCCCAGCGCCAACCGTTGGATACGTTGAACAGCTTCTTATCCCAAATGAGGGGCGACCTCGCAGTAGGGACATTAGAGGTCCTCGCCAGCGAGCGCAATGTCGGGAGGACCAGCAGCGAGGTGGGAGACGAGTCCCCCGCTGCCGTCTGGCGCAGCGAGCCCCCAACAGCCTCAGCTGGCTGCGCCCCCGACGATGGCCCCCCCCAGCAACCCCCTGCAGCTACACAGGCAGACGGAGATATAAGGGAAGAGCCATCCCCGCACAGGTACGGTTGCGGCAGCGGCGAAGTCGAAGTCGATTGGGACGAGGACAACCCACCAGACAGGACCGTCTCCATGGTCGACAGTCCCCCGCAACAGGCCGAGGAGACCGAAGTCCCCGACCCCAGCGACTACGATGCTCCCCCCAGTCGGACAGTGCTGTGGACACACACCCCACCAAAGGACGAGTCGGCAACCTGGACGCCGTTCGCTACTGCCCGCTCCCGGTCGATAATGGAAGAAATCCGGGACGGCAGAGATCTAAGAGGAGCGGGGAGCAAGTCAGACCGCCGTCAGCACTCCATTCCTGCGGGCGCCACGTCTGAGCGCGAGACCTCCCCGTCCTCCTCCTCTTCTGGACGGGCATGGGGGCTGGTGTTTTTCCAAGGGGGACGACGACGACGACGACGACGCCGCCGACGACGACGACGACGACGACGACGACGACGACGACGACGCCGCCGCCGCCGCCGCCGCCGCCGACGACGGCGGCGGCAGCGGCCGCGGCGGCGGCGGCGGCGCGGCGGCGGCGGCCACGGAGGGGGGCGGCGACGACGACGACGACGGCGGCGGCAGCGACGACGGCGACGGAGGGCGGCGGCTCCTCCTTCTCCTCCTCCGTCTCCCTCCCTCGTCGCTCCCTCTTTCCTCCTCCTCCAACTCCCCCCTCTTTCTCCTCCTCCCACCTCCTCCTCCTCCTCCTTCCGTCGACGACGACGGCACACCGCGGCTCGCAGGACGCGGCCGGCCGCCTCTCGGAGGCCCTGTCGGGGCCGCGCTGGCCGGCGAGCGGGCCCCGGGGGCCGCGGGGCGAGTGGCTCCCGGGCGTCGTCGTCGCCGCCGCCGCCGTCGTCGAGGTCGTCGAGGTCGTCGAGGTCGTCGGCGTCGGCGTCTGCGTCGGCGTCCGCGTCGTCGTCGATCGGCTGAGGATCGATCAATCGACGTTCGAGGCTCGAGGTTTGCGAGCCCTTTCGGGCCTTTTCGGTTCTCGGGGGGCGCCCTCATGGTCACTGCTGGATCCGCTTTGAAATTTTGGCCTGAACGCGCCTTTGCAGATGACTAGGGGTCGGTCGTGGTCGTCGTCGTCGTCGTCGGCAGCGTCGTTGCGAAGAGGTGGTGTGGCCGAATCTCCGAGGAGGAAATGGCTTCAAAACGTCAAGACAACCGAAACCGTCAATGACCCCCCGGCCCAGAGCGCCAGTTGCACGATCGAGGAAATGTTCAAGTTTGATTCACACTGGGAGCGCGTATGCAGAGTTTTCTTCCAGCGCTGTCATTTCTACATGTGTGCGTCGTATGATGCAGACTCAGACTCTGAACAAAAGACGCGGCGGCTGTTATATGATGTCGGTGCTCGCAACCCTCGCTGTTTTGGACGCCCAGTGCATTTACCTCTGCGGCTGGCTGGCCCCTCCCGCAATCAGTTGATATTCATACATACTCCTGCCCTGATTCTTGCCGCGGCCGTGCCAGCTTAGCCTTTTCTCTAAGGATATGTTGTTTTCGCAAAGGGGTGCTCTCACGCGCCATGCTTCTATATGCCACATGCATCCTTCATAATGCCACACCCTCTTGGGGGAACTGTAAGAAAAAGGGGGCCGATATTCCCGCACCCAGATCTGCCGCCCGAGGAGGTCGAGCCAACACCTCTTTCGAAACACTTTCCCACTTTGAGCTCGAACGACACAACACCATTAGTGCGACTTTGGGGAGCGATGAGGGTTCGAAACACGAATTGAGCCCCAGGAAAGCGGCAAAATACAAGAACATGCGTGAAACACAAAAAAACGAGCTCCAGCTCCCCGAGCACATCTCCCACAAGGCTGAAGAAAAGTGCCGCTGTCGCCGTCGTCGTCGTCGTCGTCGTCGTCGTCGTCCTGGGGGCGGGGGGGCCGAAAAGCGCTCCCCGAGCACATCTCCTAAGACAGAACATGCCTCCTGGGGCCTCCTGGGGCCTCCTCGGTGCGGGAGGGCCGAACAAAAAGCGCTCTTGTCATACATACTTGGAGCGTCCTGGGGCCTCCTGGGGCCTCCGCCAGTAGCGGCAAGACCGCTCTGACGGATTCTCCTGTGCACCTGACTTGCGAGGAAGTCTCAAACGAAACGGCCGTTCCGGCACCCGCGAGTAGCAGCAAAAGTTGCAAAGACGTCTCAGGCGAAAAGGCCTTTCCGGCATCCGCGAGTAAGAGGACGTGTCAGGCAAAATGGCCGTTCCAGAAAGCGCGAGTAGCGGTAGGAGACTGCTCTGAAGGACCCCCTTGTGGTCGTAAATTGCAAGGAAGTGTCAAGAGAGAGTGTCCTTCCTGAGGTTCGGGCCCTCTCTGGCCAGGGCCTCTCGGAGCAAAGTTTGAGGAAATCTCGTGCGGGAGCGTTGTTGTTGTTGTTGTTGCTGTTGTTGTTGTTGTTGTTGTTGTTGTTGTGTTTGTGGTTGTGGTTGTGGTTGTGGTTGTGGTTGTGGTTGTGGTTGTTGCTGTTGCTGTTGCTGTTGCTGTTGCTGTTGTTGCTGCTGCTGTTGTTGTAGTTGTAGTTGTTGTTGTTGTTGTTGTTGTTGTTGTTGTTGTTGTGTTTGTGGTTGTGGTTGTGGTTGTTGTTGTTGTTGTTGTTGAAAGTTACTTATTAAACAGTTATTATTGTCGGACACCTTAAAGACGCCCTGGCGCTCTCGCCGAGGCACCGGCTACATTTTCATTGAAAATGAGGCACACGCTCGAGCGGTTTGGGGGACCGCCCAAACCGGCCCCCCAACAACAATAACGCTCCCGCTCGAGACTTCCTCCTTTTTTATTCAGGGCTGGTGTTCTTGCTCACCGCCGAAAGCCGCCGTCCCAACAAAACCAGCCCTCCCGCTCGAGACGTCCTCCCGTTTTATGCTGGACTGGCGCGCTAGTCTTTCTCTCATCGGCGCCGCCCCCAGCAATAACAACGCTCCCGCTCGAGGCTTCCTCCCTTTTGTACTCAAGGCAGTGCTCCTCCTCGCCGCCGAAAACCGCCGCCCCGACAAAACAGCGCTCCCGCCAGAGAATTCCTTCCGTTTTTCGCTGGACTGGCGCCCAACTCTCTTTTGAATTGGCGCCGCTCCCAGCAAGAACAACGCTCCCGCTCGAGGCTTCCTCCCTTTTTCTTGAAGACGGTGCTGTTCCTCGCCGCCGACAACACCCGCTCCGACAAAACCACGGCTTCCGCTCGATGCTGCCTCCCTTCTTACTCAAGGCGGTGTTCCTCCTCGCCGCCGAAAACCGCCGCCCCGACAAAACAGCGCTCCCGCCAGAGAGTTCCTTCCGTTTTTTGCTGGACTGGCGCCCTATTATCTTTTGAATTGGCGTCGCTCCAAGCAAAAACAACGCTCCCGCTCGAGATGTCCTTTCTTTTTACTCGGGACGGTGCTGTTCTTCGCCGCCAGCAGCCCCCGTCCCGACAAATCCACGGCTCCCGCTCGATGCTTCCTCCTTTCTTACTCAAGGCGGTGTTCCTCGTCGCCGCCGAAAGCCGCCGTTCCAACAAAACCAGCGTTCCCGCTCGAGACTTCGTTTTGTTTTACGCTGGACTGGCGCCCTCCTCTCTTCAGCATTGGCGCCGCTCCCAACAACAACAGCAGCCTTGCTCGAGTCTTCCCCCCTTTCTATTCAGGGCCAGGTCCTTGCCTCACCGCCGACAGCCCCCATCCCCACCAAGGCAACCCTGTCGTTCGATACTGCCTTGTGCTTTACCTTCCGCTGGGGTTCCACTGGCGGTCTCGCATCGGCGCAGCAAGGCGCGGGCAGGTTTTCGAGGCGGGATATGTTGAAATTCTTCGGAGGAGGTGTTTGCAAGACCTCATTGGGCGGGAGATCTGGGAATGGGAATAACGGACCCCGCTATAGAACAGGAGTCCCCCATTACGTGGATGGTTATCATGATGGTCGGTCGCATGTTTCGTGTGGAAACACCGCGCATGAGGGCAAACTGATTGTTGTTGTTCTTGAACTCCCACTTCTGAAGAATAGTTATTGTTGATCCTCCCCGTCCGGTGCACATCGTTTTTTCGATTGACCTTCCCAGGGCTCGCACCTCGTTTTTTATCCGGGAAAGGCTTGAGCGTCAAACTGTGTCGTTGGCCCCCGGTTTACAACAACAACAACAACAACAATCACTTTACCCGAACGCTCAGTGTTCTCACCAGTGCCAGGGTTTTCATGCGACGCCAGCCAATACCCCCAATTTGTGGGGGGGCAGTGCAAGCTCTACCAAATATCCACACGACTCTTCGCCACCACCCACACCCAGCTTCCCGCCCTATGACGTTCGGACACTTCACTTCGTGGCCTGCGGACGACCGTGGCTACTACACTGGCGTGGAGTACACACCCACAGAAGTTGTTAAGCCTACGTTCGTACACCCACAGAAGTTGTTAAGCCTTAGCCCACAGAAGTTGTTAAGCCTTCCACAGAATGTTGCATGCATACATGATGTCATGGTTTTTGGAGATTTCGGCGTGCGCGCGCGAAGAAAAAACGAATGTGTCCCGCATGGTATTATTTGACAGGGATGATGGCCCTGGCAGGTGCGCAACCGTTGTCGCAGAAGTTCGAAAAAGTTGCTCGCAAAAGCCCGTTTGACAGAAATGTTTAAAAAGTGTTGGGTTTCCTACGAATCCGCAAGAGCGCGCGGGATGAGATTTTGACATTTTTTTGTTGAAAAACCATTGGTTTTTTGATGTTTTTATGTTAAAATCGCTCCGAACACTAAGCTTTTGGAAGGATTTCGTCTTGCGCGCGCGAATGTCCACTTTACCTTATTTTTTGCAAGGGATTCTTGAAATTTGATTATATTAGAACAAGAAATGTCATTTTATAGTGTTTTTTGCAAGGGAAAACGGATTACAACAAAACAACCGGATCTGGATCACATCGTTTTACCTGAGGCTTCCTCACGAAAATGATGAAAATGTAGCTGCGGCCTAGGCGGCGCAGGGGGGGCGTGCACCAGGGGGCCCAACAATAATTATTCTTTAGAAGTAATAATATTCAACAACAACAACAACAACAACGGCTTCCGCCTGAGACGTCCTCATTATTTAGCCAGGACCCCCGCTCCCGCCCGAGACGTCATCTCGTTTTATTCAGGAATCGCGCTCTCGCTTGGGACTTCCTTAGAATTCATTATCCTGGCGCTGTGGAGCTGCGCTCTCGCTAGAGATTTGCTTGCAATTTACTTAAGAATAGCGCCCTTGCGTTGGAATTTCCTGCAATTTTTAATCAAGCGCTGCGCTCCCGACACCCAGGCACCCAGGAGTCGCGCTCACGCTGAGGACTCCCTCACAGATTACATAGGAATCGGGATCTCTCTGCCCTTCGTGGCCCCGTTGCAGCCCTTCGTGGCCCCCTCGCTTTGTTTCGTGGCCCCGTTGCAGCCCTTCGTGGCCCCCTCGCTGCTCTTCGTGGCCCCGTTGCAGCCCGTCGTGGCCTCCTCGCTGCCCTTCGTGGCCCCGTTGCAGCCCTTCGTGGCCCCCTCGCTTTGTTTCGTGGCCCCCTTGCAGCCCTTCGTGGCCCCCTCGCTGCCCTTCGTGGCCCCGTCGCAGCCCTTCGTGGCCCCGTTGCAGCCCTTCGTGGCCCCCTCGCTTTGTTTCGTGGCCCGTTGCATCCCTTCGTGGCCCCCTCGCTGCCTTTCGTGGCCCCATATATGTATGCCCTTCGTGGCCACCGCTCGTTCGCGCCCGTGGTGGCCCCATAGGTATCTGTCCTACGTGGCCCAGTTGCTACCCTCAGTGGCCCCATCGTTGCCTTCTGTGGCCCCGCATTATCTGCCATTCGTGGCCCCCGCTCGTTCGCGCTCTTCGTGGCCCCATACGCATTCCCTTCGTGTCCCCGCTATTGCCCTTCGTGGCCTACTTCGTGTCCTTGTGGCCCTGCTGTCGTTTTCTTTCGCTCGTCGTCGTCGCCGTCGTCGTCGTCGTCGCCGTCGTCGTCGTCGTCATCGTCGTCGTCGTGGTCGGTCCCCTGTCCGTCCCTCTTGGGGTCGGGTCGACGGTCCACGGCCGCCCCGCCGATCAGCGCTGCCGCTGGCCAGGCCGACGGTCCGCGGCCGCCCCGCCGCTTGCCGGGGCCCGGCCTTCAGGGAAGAAAGGTCTACCCCCCAAAAGGGTTTCGATCGAAGACGAAGAGGGCGGGTATCGAGGGTTTGGGAAATAGGCGTTATTGGACACTCGAGCAGATAAGGGCGAACAGGCTTAAAATGATTGTTGTTGTTGTGGTTGAATTCTCACTTCTGAAAAATAATTGTTGCTGATCCCCCTCACCGGTGCATGCTGTTTTTTCCTTAATCGAAATGTGCCCCTCGACGCTCGCACCTTGTTTTTTGAAGGGGAAAATCTTGGTGCTCAAACTGGGCCCCTGGCCCCCCGGATTACAACAACGGCTCCCGCCTGAGATTTCCTTCAATTTTACGGTGGCCGAAGTCTGACGACATGGGCGACGCATTGTATTTGCTCGTGGTCTGTGCGGGTGAAGGGCAGCATTGTGCAGATCTTTGCGAGGTCCAACCGTTCTGCATCTTCGCAAATTGAGCCTGTGAAAACAGAATACAAAAGACCGGTGAGTCAAGAATTTGTTATAGGGGAGGGGCCCCGCGAGTTCGGAATGTGATGTTTCATTTTTTCTTTTGGCGTCTGATTCGGAATCTGGCGCCGTTTGCAGTGACCGAGGAAAGCTTGATGGTGTTGGTGCTCAGCGAGGGGTGTGCGCACAAATCTCTCATGCGGGCCGTCCTGCTGTAACGTTTTTGTCTTGCGCAGGCCTTGCGCAGGCCTTGCGCGGGTAACGTTTTTGTCTTGCGCGGGCCTTGCGCAGGCCTTGCGCGGGTAACGTTTTTGTCTTGTGCAGGTCTTCGGCGCTAGCACACCAGCCCCACTGGGTGCGAACTCTTGTCCAGAAGCGATTAATTTCAGAACGTGCTGTAAGTCACCCTGATGACTTTCGGCGCTCGTTCTGGGATCCCTAGGGACGAGTGTTCCCACCGCCACTGCACATAAGACTTGGGTTTCGCATTGCAGGCAGGCTGCAGTTTTGCGCCCCATGTCCGTGTTGCATCGCATTGTGCAGCATCAATCCCACTAAGTGGGATAGCTGTGTCCCGTAGGTCGAGGCACATTGTTGGCGTGTAAATTACTTGGTCGGCTTCTTCCAGCGGCCACGCACCGGAGAAGGCCGATCAGCAATACACCCATAATTTAGGATGCGGGCCACCAAGGGCTCCCGCAACCGCTGGATCAAGACAATTTCTGGTATCGCGCTAGAAAAAGAAAATGGTCTCGGACAGGGCGCGTGGTGAGCCTCAGCGGCAACGGCGGCTCATCACACGTCTATCCGTTTCCATCGAATATTTGTTGGGTCTCCCTTGGCTTCCCACCGATCCCGGGACTGCGACACGCCATCCCGATCCGCCCGACTTTGGTGCGATATTTACTTGAACGTCTCTCGGAGGGTGTCGAGGAATTTGAATTGCTGCATCTGTTCGAGGCCTACGACGACGAGTAGACGGAATGGCGACGAGTCCCAATCCCACGGCGCAGCCTGTGCCGCTGCCCCCCCCAGCCCAGTCGCAGATTTCGAGCGAGACTCAGCCTATGACCCCACAGGTGATACCCAGTAGACCCAGTCAGGCTGCTGACCCGGGGGGAGGGGATAGGGGGATGGATAACCCCCCCCCGAAGGGGAAGAAGGGCGTGAGTGGGATCCCGCCTCCCAGCGGCGCGCCAAAACAGCCACGTTCTGCTGACGGAGCCGCGTTCACATGGTATGCCGAGGATTGCTTAGCGGCGAATAGAAATCAGACCCAAACGTGCCCGCGTCGTGACGAACATCACGACGGAAGGTTTTTGGCCGTCAAACAATAGCCCGGGATGAAACCAGCCCTGGGAAAAAGGGTCGGGATTTCCGGAGACCCCTATTTGGAAATTGAAGACGTCGCATGTCTGGGGAGGTAGCCAAGCCCTTCTAACAAGGCGCCTGCGGCCTTACAAGGCCGCCTCCGGTTACCCCACCCCTGGCCCTGGTCCGCTCAAAATTGGCCCCCGATGACTTCAGGGATTCACCCCAGCCAGTTTCTTGGCTGAGCTTCGTCGCATGCCTTGGCGACGAGAATTCCCAGAAATTCTCGCAGGCTGCAAAGAATCAAGACGCCGACGACGTCGTTATCCACCCGCTTACGGTAGGCTTGCGCAGCGTTGGCGTGGCGGCGACCCCAGCGCGTGCGTTCAAAGTAAAACACCGCCTGCGGCCCAGAGTCGGCCGATTTCGAGCGATCTGCGCTACCGGAGAGCCACGGTCGTTTAAGGTTGAACGATCCACTCGGCGTCAGAAACCAACGCCCGCGACACCGCCACGCGAGCCAGCCGTAGAAGGTCGCCCCCCGGTCCCACCCCTCCTGCCCGCTGCAGCAGGCTCGGCGGCCGCGTGGCCCTCGACGTCGCGTTCGCGGACCTCGGGCTGTCGCCGCCGCCGCCGCCGCTGTCGTCGTCGTCGTCGTTGTTGTTGTGGTCGTCGTCGTCGTCGTCGTCGTGGTCGTCGTCGCCGTCGTCGTCGCCGTCGTCGTCGTCATCGTCGTCGCCGTCGTCGTCGTCGTTGTGGTCGTCGTCGTCGTCGTCGTTGTCGTTGTCGTCGTGGGCGTCATCGTCGTCGTTGTCGTCGTCGGCGTGGTCCTCGTGGTCGCCGTCGCCGTCGGAGCAGGAGGTCGGAGGCTGGGGTATTCGGAGTTGGAGGAGGAGGAGGAGGAGGAGGAGGAGGAGGAATGCTATGGAATGCTATGAAAGGGACAACTGTCCAGCAGGCTCCCCAGGGTGGCGCATGTACCACTTCCGCCACCTGGGAGCCATGACCCGATTGAGCTTTAGTCGGAGTCTCCAGAAGACAAAACTGCCCTCCCCGCCACCTCCTCCCTTCCAGCAGCTGGCGTGTGAGCTCGGGGGGGTCGAGCTCCATGCAGACGCTCTCGTCGCGCCTGCTGCTGCTCGGGCTCGCCTCCCTGGGCCTTGCCACGGGTTCGAGCCAGCTGGGGAGGCGGCAGGGGAGGGGGAGGGGGCGGCACTCTGCAACTCCGCAGGTGGGCCACTCGACGACGCGCATCTCGCACGTTCACGACCCGCCATGGCCTCCACGACTGCCTTCGGTGACCCCTCCCTCCTGGATAAAACCATTTCCGAATTCTATTGAGGTTCTCAGCCCTTGGGGGGGTCATACCCCCACAACGAACCTTCATGTGTCTGCCGTCTACTGTCGCGAAGCGGCCACACTTGCTGCAGACATACATGAACCATGTGTCCATATAGGCCATCGCGTGGGACTCATGAAACTCGAGCGCTCCCGCCACAAAAGACTGGGGAGCCTGCTGCACTTCAGGCGGCCTGGCTCCCCCTGGGATGGCCTTTCCTGCGCATGGTGTGGCCGCGAAGCGGAAAAAGTTGGAGCCTGGCACCACTTGATCGCACCCTGCGCACCTCCAGCCCGAGGTAGACTTCTCAAGCTGGTGCGCCGACTCCTTGACAGCTCTGGAATACATGTTGCAAGGCGGCCGCTTGGTCGCGGCCGCTCTCTCGCCTCTGACTTGGGAGTCTGCACTGTCCGAGTCAGCTAGCGCTCGTCTGGCCCGTCGCCGCACCAGGCTGGCAATGGCATCGATCCGATCCGTCTGAGGGGTCTCCCCAACCAGCCCGAACTATCAAGCCAGCTCCGCCCCCTCCCTCGCCCATATCTGCAGCGGCATTGCCCGCTGCAACCTCCAGCTGCCAGTCTGTCACCAGCAACTCTGGGGATCCTTCAGTGTGAGAGGGAGCCCACTGCACTTCGACAGTGGCGGTGTCTGGCCTGAGACGCCAGGCCTCACGGGCCCTGGCCCACAAATCCTCATTAGCCCCTGTCGGGCGTGGGTGCTCCATCTTACAGCGCCACTTACGAGCCACCGACAAGTGACCAGTTATAATCAAGAACGATTCTGGCACCGCTTCCAGGGCCAAACAGAAGGCCTGGATCTCGGAGCGGTGGACGGTCTGGCGAGCTCCGAGGAGGGGTCGTGAAACCGCAGCTTGCACAATCCATTCACCCTGGGGCCATCTCAGGGACCAAATCGCCGACCCACATCGTCGTCGTCTGGGGTCGTCCGAAAATCTACCCCCCGAGCCGTCGCCATAAACCTTTAAAACCCCATCGCGTCCTCGAGAGGCCTCAACGTACTCCCTCCCACCCAACCTAAGCTCCCGCCCCTCCAGCCGCCCCTCATCGAAGAGGGGGTGAGTGAGGCGAGTAGGGGGGAGGCCACGGAGCCACAACGCTGGCTCAGCTTCTGCTTGTGCCAAGGCTGTTGCTGTCAGTGGCTCAGGTTTGCTATAGTCTTCGTGCTCAACGTTCTTGGAGCATTCCCAAATTCTGTGTTTCAAGGTGTCACGGGCATCCTGGCATCTGGAACAAACCTCTGGCACAACATATCCTGTTTCTTTGCAGCGGGCCCACGGCCACTGGCCGCCAGCGACGACGGTCACGTTGAGCGCCAGCTGGTCGAGCATTCCCTTTTGTGTTCGAGCCGCCGCTGCTCCATGACAATCGGCCACAGGTCACCGCCCTTCTCGAGGTTGTCCCCGTGATCGTGTTTCGCTCCCTCTGTCCACAAGTCGCGCCTCAAATTGGCCTCGGAGTCATCTAGTAGCTCCTGGAAGCAACCCGTGGCGACAAAGATGCCGTCCTCAGAGGTCGGCAGCTCCCACAACTCCATCTCTTCAGCTCGAGGTCGATGCCAACAGGTTGCCGTCGTAGGTATCCATCCTCCGTCCATGAGCGTCGCTATCAGAGCGCCAGTGGGGCCTCGTACTGCTCGCCATCTCTTCGTTCCAAGCTTGTGTAATCTCGCCTGGATGGCTGGCCACGCTTTTGTCACTCGTCGGTGAATGTGGGGAAACTTCTGCCACGTGCCTATCCACTCGCGTAGCACTCCAATGCGTAAGTCCACCGCAGGGTCTCTGAGGCCCAGCTCCATGCCCAACGTAGTCGTTAGGCACCGACCTCCTGCACTGCCCCCTGCCACTTTGCCAGCCTGTCTGCGCAGCACGGTAATCTCATGCTTGGACATGCCGATCGTCTGTTGGCCGTAGATCGTTTGCGGCAGCGCACTTATGTTGTAGAGGCCCTTGGACTCCTTCTTCAGCGCCGCGATCCTCCTGAGCTTGGCGATTCTGCCAAACCTCTTGCGTGATTTAACTTGCCTATGTCTGCTCTTAGTGGCGACCCGCTTCCTGCCACCAGCCGTATCAAGTCCGAGGTCCATTGCAATTCCATTATCTTAGGTTGGTATTCTTCGCCGTTGTATTCGCTGAGCTAGCTTATTGGCGTCCTTCAAGTCGGAGCCGATAACATAGGTTTGATCTGAAATTCTTATACGTTGCTGTACCAATCCAGTGCACATATCAGTGGAACCTCCAGGAGCTGCTCGCCCACCACGTTAGCGCTGCCCTCGCATCTCGCCACCGCGTCGTCCACGAATGTCCACAATCCCGCTGAGGGTGTTCGTCTGTGGGCGAGCTCCAGTACTGGATGAAGAACTAGTTTGGCCAGCTTGACCCCTCGTGCCGATCCTGCCACCAACGACCTAGTGGGTCAAATCGCCTCGCTGATGATGGCGCGTTCCTGCAAATAATGCGGCCCGAGGAATGCATCTGCCTCTAATCCAACTGCCACTGCTGGGAAACCTGCCGTGCATGATATATGCACCAAAATAACTAAGGACACCGTGTCGTAGAACTTCTCGATGTCCAACAGTAATGCCATGGCCGACGTGCCGATCTCGATGCCCGTCTCGTCCAGTATTGCTCTCAATAATCCAGCGCGGAGTGTCGAGCTGCCTTTTTACCGCTGTGTCCCAGTGGTCTGAAAGTCCAGCACTCCACATTGAGCACACACCGCCACGCGCTCCCGACCATAACTTCACTTGTGATGGTAGCACTCCCAGCACTTGATCTCCTCCAGCAGGGCCAGGCTTAGCAACCATCGCACATTTGGTTGCCGAAATTTGACGTGGCCGTGCCAATTGTCTCCCACTCTCAACGATGATGTCCAGTAGCTCTACCGTTGCCACCGTGGGAAGTCTGTCTATAGCTGTGGGGCTCAGCTGGTCCAGGCCCTTCGCTTTGGTTGCCGAAGTCGCCCGCAGCGCACCGTTGAGCATGTCCATGTCAATTGGGTCCAGGTCCTCCATCAGCGCACGACGCCTGGTGCACTCCAGCTGCTCGATAATGTGTTTCTTCTCGTCCACAGGGTCAGTCCAGATACTCTCCCACGTCTTAGCCGTTTCACTCATGATGACGGTGGGGTCTGCCGTCGCGAGATCAGGTCTGAGAGCCATCACGTGTCTGTGCAGCATTCCCGCTTTCGCTTGCCATGCTTTCTTCGCCCAGGTCGCTAAACTCGTCCTTGCCGTTGTCATCGATCGGGACGATGCCGTTGCCAAGTGCCTCTCCGTCTGGTCCACCAGATTCGCCAACTGCCCCTCGTCCAATTCCAATATATATATATATATAGATATATCCTGCCATCTCGAAGTACATGTTGCTGCTGGTGATCGGAACATGTTTGCTGAACGCTTCCATCTGCGGAATCTTGCTGATCACGTGCAGCTGCTTCTTGGTACGAGTGATGCACATCCTTTGCTGCTTGACGTCTGTGCCGTTCACAAACAACAGCAAGGAGGAGGAGGAGGAGGAAAGGGAGGAAAGGGAGGAGGAGGATAAGGAGGAGGAGGAGGAGGAGGAGGAGGGGGAGGAGGAGGAGGAGGAGGATGCGGAGGCGGAGCAGCAGGATCAGGAGTTGGAGAGGGAACGGGCAGAAGGAGGAGGAGGAGGTGGAGGAGGAGGCAGAGGGGGGCAGATGGGGGAGGAGGATAATCAGCGGACGAGGAGGAGGGGGTGGAGGGGGGGACGCACGAAAAGCGTTGGGAGTAGACGGGTAATGAGGCTGAAGGGAGTCGAATAGGGGCGACGTGGAGGAAGAGAAGGGTGAGGAGGAGGAATAGGAATAGGAATAGGAGGAGGAGGAGGAGGAGGAGGAGGAAGAGGAAAGAGGGGGAGGCGAGGCATACGAGTTGCGAATACAACCATACACCCTACAGCACACCGCTGATCCATCATGTTACTTCTGATCAGGGCGCCAGTCTTCCCCTCCTCCCCTTACAGCCATCCCCGTCTTCAGCCTCCACCCCCCTCTTTCTTCTTCATCGTCCTCGTCCTCCACCTCCCCCTCCTCCCCCCCTCCTGATCTTGCCCCCCTGAAATCGGAGGAGGGCAAGTTGCGACAACAGTGGCCTCCCCGCCCGGCCCAAATCCGCTCAACACGGGTCCCCGAACCCGTCCTGGGTCCATCTTGACACGTTCTTCGAGGCGCATCCAGCCGCAGCGACGAGACACCTTCGGGAGGCCCCGAAACGAGAGAAAGACGAGGACCGCCGTT